GCATCTGCTTTCCCTTGTCTATTTCCAAACTCTGGGCCACGTTGTCATACTGCATTCATAACTCGAGGTGAAACTTCATTAGTCCAAATTGCACAAACCGAGCAGACAGGTGGCAGATACTGTACTGGTCGACACTTGAATGAAGAGGTGAGCATAAGGCGTGAGGTAGAATACTCATGGCTCAACAGTTTAAACTGACATTAAGGTGCAGCTGATACTATTTCTCAGTAGGAAAATATGTAGATTCAAGAGTTTTAAATGGAGAGGAAGATAGAACTGAAATAAAGAAACAGGACAGCATATTCAAACAGCCAGCTGAGGTCTAACTAACCATGCAGGAAGAGCAAGACTCTCATTCCTGTCTGTCTGAGACTCTGGCCTTCTTGTTCATAACAACCAAAATAGGTCTGGAAGGAGGAGAGAGAGGCAGCAAGCAAGGGCGCGGAGATGGTCATCTCCTGTATGGGACTTTGACTACTGAGATCTGGGTACATATTTATAGAAGCCATCTACATTCCCGACAAGATATTTATCACCCTTTAGAACGTGTTATTACTTCTGATAGGAGGGAATGCAGAATTAGGCCAACTTCTCTCTTTCAATTTGTAGATGGAAAAAAAAACACTGAATAGATTATTTTTTATAAGAAATTAGAGGTAAGCCCCACTAATACGTTTCTTTAAACAAATGGAGCATATCCTTTGAATAACGTGTGGTTTGTTTTTGCATGAACAGATACTTCATGTTACTATGGAGAACTTAGACTCTGTTTTACCAGACTGTAATTCTCAAACAGCAGACAGCAGGGAGATCAGGTCCTGAGACTGAGACACAGTGTAGTACAAGAAAATCGGACTCAGAAAGCAGAAGGCCAGAAGGTAAGTCCCTAATCTGGCACGCTCTAACCTCCCTACATCTCACCTTCCTATTCTGGACTATGCTGGTTCTATTCTGGATAGAGTAGGTTTGGATATGACTGGCCACTGGGAGCACTATCCAACTACTTAAGAGCTTGTTAAACATAAATATTGACAAGACGCTGAATGGAAGACAATGCTCATGACAGACAAGGTTTCCCTTATCAAAATCACAGGAACAGACAACAGTATTTCAGAAGCCAAGGGAGCAACCTTTAACACCCTGTTCTGACTTCTCTGAACAACAAGCCAAAATAGAAGCTCAGGGCTCCCAAGGTGTTAGCCAGATGAAAATTAGTAGCACTTCTCTCTTTCAGTTTCTCTGAGTCTTTAGCAGAGCATCCATGAACAGGTAGAAAGACAAAGAGCTACAGAACCCCAGGCCAGTCACCAACTTCTTTGGGCCTTAGTCATGCTTTATAATCCAGTGATAATCATGAAGGGTGACAACTACTACCATAGGACTTCAGAGCCTTTATTGGGAATGAGTGAGCAATAAATTGTAAAAATGCTCATAGAAATTAAATTTCAAGCACAGACTAGAGGCAGCCAACACCTCCCCTTTAAGACACTTGTGAGAATGACTGTCACTTGCAAATACAACCTATTGCATAAGCCCAATCAAATCAACTCCTTGTGCCAAGGAACTTGGTTGTCCTTGGTGAAATAATAGCATTTTGGCCAGAGAGGGAATTTCATCATTTTCTTTTGACTTTGGTTCTGACTTTTGCAAGGTGCATGCCTGAGATTCAGAGCCCAGAGCCCAGAGCCCAGAGCCCAGAGCCCAGAGCCCAGAGCCCAAGCCTGGCCCTGGCTGTTAGTTTACAGCCTAGAGAATATGAGTTGACCAAGAAGAGAAAGGATCTGCTGCCAACCAAAACTAGGCGTCAGAGAGATCTCAGCTTTAACTCCTCCCAACCCCAAGGCACCAAGGGATGAGCCAGGCAACAGCAGATCCACTGGGCATCAACAGTAAGAGGCAGAGAACTGTGTCAACCTGTTTCTTCCTTTTCTCATTCACTCTTTCTACATTCCATTCCCCTAAAGAGATCACATAGCTGGAACGATTCTAATAAAAGCAATAAAGCAAGGGTTGCAATTCAAGCTAAATTCCGAATCGTATATACCTTTTCAGGCGAATACAAGTGCCTGCCCTCCAGGAGCTCACAATCTAGTGGGAGAATCAGAAAGGTAACTCAATAGACTGTGAGCTCCTTGAGGGTAGGGACCATCTCTATTCTTCCTTGTCTTTTCACTAAGCACTATGCCTGCCATGAAACAGGTTTTCAATAAGTTCTTACTGAAGAGATGAACCATCGGAATCATTTCTTTCTTTCTTTCTTTTTTCTTTTTTTTTAAAAAAAGCCCAAATATAGTGAGGTTAACAATGTTCTTCCCAAGCCTCCTCCCCTCTTCATCAACATGCCAACTATTGCTTATTAAGTGCACGACCGCGCTGCCTTCCCAGTCCCCTCTTGCACATGCTGTGCACACTACTGCCCTCCTCTTTATCCTGGCAGGTGGGTGCTGGTCAACAGATGATGGCATGAACAAGCAAATGTGAGAAAGGGCACACCTGCACTGTATCTGAGTCATAAGTAGACCACCTTCTAAATTCCAGAAGCAGGTCAATCCAGCTGAGGGCATCTGTAAGGCCTCAAAGAAGACAGTGATTGATTTGGGCCACTTTAAAATCACAAAGGCTAAATGACATTGCATAGGGAAAAAATCCAATCCTCTTTTCCATTAATTAGGCAGATGACATCAGAACAAAACATTTTTCTTTAAGCTAGAATATGAGTTATGCCAGATTCTACCTTCTAGAGGATATGGGTTTCAGCCAAAAACCCATCATATAGATTATTGTTTTTCTCCTCTTAAGTACTTAGAGGAAATTAAGTCTTCTTTGGCATGCAGCAGTTCTCAGCAAGGTCACAGGTCCTTCTACAGTGCTGTCAGGGGCAGTTGAGGTAAGAGCATCGTCAACAAAAAGGAGACATGTCAATTATCCTTAAAGATGCAAAACCCGTTAACCAAGATGGTATGGGACCATTCTAAGCTACTCTAGAGATCTCAAAGGGTCAGGAAGAAAACTGAGGACATGCAAAAGTTGGTCCTTATGTCTCTGAACTCATCACTAGACTGGTGCAGTAGACAGGCAGCCAGGAGATAGGTCTCTACTGTGATGAGAACTTGGCATCACAATTAGCTCATCTGCACAATGGACAAGGTAGAATGGAACTAGAATATTCATTCCCCCTAACCTAGAAAAGTAGAAATTACCGGGAAGCATGGGGAAGAAGGGGTAAGCATTACTAAGTAAGGAGTAAGCATAACTAAGTATGTCCATTTGTTTCCTTTGGTGACACACTGAAATTAACTAGGGCTACTGGTCTGACCATGACTTTGGAATTATCCTGTGGCCTAGTAGGTTCAACAGTTCTGGACCATAAACCTAAAGACCAGCAAAGCTAAGAGTGGGCTTTTTGGAGAGCTTGACACTGAGGCCTGTGTTTCTTCAGTCAGCACCATGTTTTCTCCCTAACCACACACAAGCCAGCTTCCTTTGGTTTTCCCCTCCGCTCAAGTCTTGATGCCTAAGACCTGCTTGAATAGGGCAACTTTCACATCCTTGGTGCTGTGGTTCCCCCTTCCTTTGTTTTGCTTCAAACTTCCTGCAAACACCACACAGATAAGAAAGGTAGCAGAAGCCAAGATTTAGCTAGTTGCACTCTCCGTCAGTCCTTGCTACACAGAGACTGTGTGTACCACCACAGCCACTTTCCCACGCTCTCCAGCCTTGTCTACCCTCCACAGTGAGTTCTTTGTGCTAACTGCTCATCAGAGTCCCTTGGGGCTGAAGTCACAGCAATACTTCCCCCAAGACCTCTGCCTCTAGGTGAGGACCAGGAGGTTAACAGGATCAGAAGGCTTCCTAGCTAGTTCTGAGGGTAGCTAGCGAGGACCACAGCTGCTGTTTAAACACCAGAAGGCATGAGCTATGCCAGCTTTTCTTTCTTCATTATGGATTGTCATTCTCATGGGTACCACCCCGTGATTTGCATGAGGACATTGAACATTACATCGATCATGATTGGCATTTTGGTTCAGGGTTATCTGACGCCAGTCTTGGGCATACTAGGTAGGCTAAAGGGATACCTGGACATACTTGGCTGTATCAGAATATTCTACAATATTCATTATATTCCCTCCTAGAAACATCTTGCATAGATTAGCCTGCAGAATAAGGCATGGTGATAAGTCCGAGTTTCTCCTTTAGGGAGCCTAGAATTTTCTGTGCTTTCTATTGTTGTCATTGGTAGATGCTGGCAGCTATAGAAAGAACAAGCACAGGACATACAAGGTTCCTTGTCAAGAATCATTATCAGTATTTCATGCTATTAACCATCATCATAAAGGCGACATTTATTGACACTTCTGTGCAGGGTACTGGACAAAATATTTTAAGGAGATTATTTTATTTAATTTAATAACCAAAACTTATTTTGAGGCAAATACAGTTAATATCCCCATAGTATGGATTAGGAAATTGAGTATCACATAGGCCATAAATGATACTATTTTGACTCAAGGCTATCTGACCCCAGTCCTGGAAATACTAGGCCTAGGGGATACGGATCTGACTCTATCAAAATCATTACCACATAGATTGTGGTGCACGGATATAGTGTTCTAAAGTGATAAACCAGAAATTATCTACAGAAAAGCCAAGAAAGTTTCCCAAGAGGGGATAGAGGATGTAGGCGACCTGAGTTCACTGCCTACTAAGGCGCACAAGGCTTAAAGTAAAGGACTGGCTGGCAGAGACGGTCTAGCTTACTTGGGTTTGCACACTGGGCATTCTCCTAGGATAGCATGTTCAAGCAGCTGTTTTCTGACCTCAAATTGAATTCTGCTGTGGACATCAGGCATAATCTTCCTGCTACACTGGTCATACCATCGCTTGTCTAGTGGTGCCACTTAGATACCCTAGGTAAAGTGGATGGAGGCTTTGCTGTCCTGACTCTCAAGGGCTTCCAAACTCCATCTCTAAGCTTTGCTTACATCACAGTTATTACCTACCTTCCCTGCTTCAGCCAGCTCGCTTCATTCTCTCAACACTGTCTCAGAGAACATTTGACCTCAGGGCCACCCATTCCTCACATAATGCCCATTATGTACACCAAGAACCAGGCATTCCAACCCCTCCCCCCCGCCCTGCCCTGAGCCATCATTAGTTGGTCCATTAGTCTTCAGGTTCTATTATGAAAGTCTGTCTTTTAACCCATCAAACTCATTATAATATTTTCCAGTTTGTTTTCAAGGAGTAGAACATGAGGACATAGTCCAGAACTCACGTCCTGAGCAATTATTATTGACTGAATAGCCTTGAACAACAACAACAACAAAAACAAAAAAAACAAAAAAAAACCTCGCCTTCGCTATGGTTAAGTTTCCTCTAAAAATAGAGATAATTTTAGCAGCCACACATGCAAGGGCTGCTCCAGGGATGATGTAGGTAGCAAGACATATGAACGGTGATTGACATGGAAACACCTCATAAGAAATAGACATATCTCTCTGAGGCACCAATCACTGACCAGCCCATTATATAGCTCTGTGCCTTTATCACACTATACAGGCACTTGAATGCTTGTGTTCCTAAGGGTACCTGCATGTCTCACAGCGGGAGCTCAGGCGCTAATCCCACAGTCTACTGAACTGCATTCTGTGAGCTGGCTAATGACCAGCAAAATGACATTCCTCTGATTCTGTAGCAGGCATACCTCAGAAGTAGTCTTTGGCTAAGTTTGAGCATCTTTATTATCTTATAGATGTTCCTTACAACACATTAAAGAGAACCAGCAAAAAAAAAAAAAAGAAAAGTGTGTTTTGCTTTTAGTGCTGTATAATTTTTTATTTCATATTAACATGCCTCAGGGAATAAAATATGTATTTACATAAAAATTCTAGTAATGGCATTTTGAAAAGTAATTTAATGAAGCATCAGATTCTATTTGCTGAGGGCTCTAATACTACGATATGACAATGCCCTGCTCTTCCTCCACACAGTCCTTATTCTCGAGCTACCAGTGTGATGCCAGCTCAACTACATCTTCTGTAATACCAACCATGTCTGGGTTGAGGCTGGTGTGTTCATAAAGCCGAAATCTATGCTTCCTTCTCCTTCTCTGTTAGTCTTTGACCAATGTCCAAGGGAGACTTTATCAACTAGGCTCTGAAGTCTTAGAAGCCAGACAGGTTCATTTTTTATAACCTGCTGTCCATATTAAATGTGCTGCATGGAAATTAAGGAGTCAATTTCAAAACTTTCAAAAACTTGAAAAGTATATACATATAATAAAAGTATTACCTTGGAGGAGACAGTTCATTGATAAGATATTGGTTAGGCTTCGCCACACTGTTTGCTTTGAGGTAAATGGTCTTGTTTTGTAGCTCAGGCTAGTTTTGACCTCTGGATTCTTCTGCCTGGGATTAAAAACCTTTGCTATGATGTCCCAAACTACAATTCTGATGGTTCAATACCTATGTAGCTGGGAGTATAAGAGTCAGAAAATGAAATGTAGAATTACCTACTAAGTCAGTTTGGTCACAGAGACTCTAGCACAAAGGATCAAAATTCCCAAGGCAATAATAGGAGGATGGACGTCTCATAGACAAGAGCCAGCCTAAAGTCAAACAATTCATCTTAGGTTCACAACTTCAAGCTATGTTACAGCTGACTGGGAATGGTGTGCAGGAAGAGGTCCCCAGGTTCCTGTTCACACCGTAAGTGTAACATCTCTGGACACATCCCAACGATGTACTTAGACTAACTTTATCACAGTGGCTATAAAAGTATAGACAAGTAGAATCACACACACATGTGCCATGCTCCGCACTCTCACGCACAACTCAGTAAGTGCTCGCTCATCTCCACAAACTTCCTTCCAGCACGTTTCAAGGGTTTCCCCTGCATTTGCAGCCCTGTGCTTCTTTTCCCGATTAGGAAATAATCAGTGTATATAGTCAAAAACCCAGGCAGGCAAGGCAGATGGACACAGCAGCCCGTAGAAGCCGTTTCCCTAGGAAACCAGGCAGAAACAGGATCTTAACCAAATGTGGAACTGGCAGCCAGAATTTGGAACTAGAAACTGAACTGTGGACTAGTGGGAAAGCCCAGGAATCCGTCTCTGCAAACCGTGTACAGGAGGTGACATCAGAGGAGGGACATGTTTCATGGGGGAGAGACCAGGAAATCTCAGAGAACAAGCATTTCCTCACTGATAAGTCCAGGGCAAGAAGCACAGCGGCTTCCAGTGAATCTCCTCAGTCACTTATGAGAAAGAAAACGGAAAAGAAAGGAGTCTGCATGGAGAAACCATGTCCAAGGCCTGACTCATGGTCAAATGCAGAACCAGACTTGTGAATTTGCATAGACTAGACATCCCATTACCTTATTACCATCTGTCTAAGTGAGCATAAAATTAGGCTCTACAGAGTTCCTGGGCTGCTCACTGGCATTGCCACAGACTCTGCAGCAGCCTCCAGGACGTATGATCACTTCCTTACAGTTTTCGGTGACTCACCCCTACCCACATACATCAAAAAGCCAATGCTACTTCTGCCTTGTATCTTCCCATTTTTTAACGTCCTGTATTCGAGACAGAGAGACAGAGATGGGGGTGGGGCTCAGGAGGGGGAGCAGATGGGAGAGGGGCACATGAGTGGGTACAAGCGCTCACAGAAGAAGGTATCAGCTTCCCCGGGGAACATGGTTACAGGCATTCGTGAGCCACCAGAGCCCGGTACGAGGAACCAAACTCAGAACTTCTTCAAGAGCAGTGAGTCTGAACTGCTGAGCCACCAAAGCCTCCTTTTACCCCCAGAAATCTTTTTTAAGGTTTTTAAGTGTGTGTGTGTGTGTGTGTGTGTGTATGTGTGTGTATATGAGAACATGCACACGTGAATGTGGTTCCCTTGCTTTTTACTTTATGATCTCAGGGCACTGTATACCTCATGTTCCCTCACAAACATGCTTGACGTTAAAGAGAACAAGAGAAGCTCCTGAGAAGAGAACGTGTCTGTGGCCACACCTCTTCTCTGCTGTCGCTGTCAGTGTAAGAGTTCCTATGTTCTAGGTGGCAGGGCTAACGGGCTGCACTTTTTGGTCCACTCTGTTTGTGTCCTCTCTCTCTCTCCAGTGCACTGGGGCTTCCACGTCAATAGAAATGGTATTTCATCAGGGTTTCACTGTGATTACTGGCACGCTGGAATATTCAGTTCGATTTATTCCGTGGTAGAGGTGTTTGCTCCTCCTGCGGCACAGGGTCTAGTTAAACTGAATACCGACTTCTCCAAACCACTGGCTGAACGAGTGTCCGGTTCGACACTAGAAAAGTCAGCTTTACCTCTCCCCTCAGCCTTCTATACTTTCTATACTGACACCCCTACAACAAGTGTGATGTGGTTCACTTGGAAGGTACCTGGCCTGGCAGAAGCTATGAAAGAACCTGTGGAGGAGTTAACACGAGCCTGGAAGATTACCAAGTAGGGAATGCACAGTGTCCATGTATGTTCACTGACACATGCCAACCAATAAGGCAAGAGAATGGAAAAGAAATCCCACCTCCTCCCAAATCACACACACTGCATTGCCACTGGATCGAAAAGTCAGTCATTTCTTGTGGATGCCTCATGAATTTAAATTTGGAAGCAATTTTTCCTGGTGAGACATTTCATGCTTTGCTATTAATGCAGAAAATTCCCAGAAGCCGGCAAAGAAGGAACATGGAAATAGAAAGCAGAAATCTAAGTTTTCATCTGGCCAGGGTCTACCTTTCCAACCTTGAGTAGGTCCCAGGAACTTCGTTTTTCAACTTGCAAAAACGAGATACCACGTGGACACTCCAGGCACTTTAGCTGACTGCGGCAAAGACTCATCAGCTAGCAGATCTTCACTGAACTCTTCCTTCTTGGGAAGTACCTACCGCTCAGGAAGCGAGGCTGCGGCAGTCAGCACAGCACTGGCTCCCCTGCAGAGCTCAGTTTCTAGATGAATCTGTGAGTTTGTTCAAAGTAAGCAACACAGAGACACAAAATGGACACACACGTATACACTATACACTGATGTACACAGTATCAAGACAGTCCAGGGCGACACAGAAATACATATAAAAGAACTTTGTAAACAACAAAAAGAGCATGTAAGCCAAAAGTGTCTGTGCATTCCCACCAAATTGGAAAGGTTCAGAGTCTAGGATTTGGGAGGTAGAGGTTCAAGAATTATGAATTCAAGACCAGTCTGGGCTACATTATATCCCGTGACAAGCAATATTTGTAATATTATATAACAGTACATATTATATATTATAATTTATATATATATCATATTGTTATAACAATACTGTTCTATTAGGGCTTATAATAAAGTCTTTCCTAGTAGTAATCCATCCTCTCTCCCCTCCTTTGCCTTTCCCTAAATATTAGTTATGTTTTTTTAAAATAAATATTTATATTTATTTATTTATTTATTTATTTATTTTACAATATTCTGTCTGCAGGTCAGAAGAGGGCACCAGACCTCATTACAGATGGTTGTGAGCCACCATGTGGTTGTTGGGAATTGAACTCAGGACCTCTGGAAGAGCAGGCAGTGCTCTCAACCGCTGAGCCAATCCTCCAGTCCCCTAGTTATGTTTTTAAAGCTACATTCGGGTGCAGAGGCCTAAGTGAAGCAGATAAATCAGAAGCAGATCTGGCCTTGAGAGGGTTTAAAGAAGGCACAAAGACAAGGCACCAGATCAGTTCCCGTTTCCTGTGATGTAATACCAACACAATGAAAGTCATCTCAGAGAAGAGACTTCTGGAGAAAGAGTGAAGAACTGGGGCCAGGGAAGACGGTCCTGGCCATGGAGGAAGGAGGACTGGAGACCCTGGGTGGGTCCCAGGGTACAACATAAAAACACAGACATCCGGGACGGCGTGGCATCCCTAGCTCAGCTCTCTCTACTCTAGCAGGAAGTCTCAGCCAATGATGAAAATCTCCCTGCTCCAGCTAAAGGAGCAAGATATGTTTTTTTTTGTTTGCTTATTTGCTTGTTTGTTTTTTTTAAAGATATTTTCTCCAATTTCAAAGAAGTATCT